AGGATGAATCTATTGATCAACTAATAGAAGATGCTCCGCCAGAATTTGAGGAGGAAATTAAATCTACCGTTGATGAATTGAAAGAGATTAACCTCGGGACTGAAGAACAACCCTGACCTACATTTGTAAGTTCTCTACCATTTTTATAATCACAACTAGTGTCATTACTTGACCAGGGTTTTGAATTAACAAAGATTGCTTCGCATGGAGCTATGATGAAATTTCAAGACTATCAACAGAGGTTGCAGTTCATAAACTCGGGGTGGACAAGAATATAACTCCAATAAAACAATCTCTCAGGAGAATATGCCTTGAAATAGAACAACAAGTCATCACCGAAGTGAAGAAATTAATAGACGCCAACTTTGTAAAAGAAGAACAATACCCCACGTGGTTAGTTAACATTGTACCTGTTAAAAAGAAAAACAGACAGATCCGTGTTTGTGTCGACTTTAAAGATTTCAACAAGGCATGTCCAAAAGACGAGTTTCCGCTACTACTACCAGAAATGATGGTGGATATCACTTCAGTACACGAAATTTTCTCCTTCATGAATGGATCGTCGGGATACAACAAAATCAAGATGGCTCCCGAGGATGCAACACTTACAGCCTTCAGAACACCGATTGGAATTTTCTACTACACAATGATGTCGTTCAACCTAAAGAACACAGATTTTCTGATGGATGAGCCATACATCCCACTGGGGACAGACGAGTATATACCATGGAGTCCAGGGTCGTACATCCCTTTAGATGCCGAATCACATGTTCCAGATGAGCTAGCGCCAATTTGGGTTCTGTTGATGTTCAGATGGAGGAATGCCCGCCACAGCTGCCGACTCCTAGCACGATGGAGTACTATAAAATAAGCAAGGTGAATAAAAGAGAATTTGAATTTTGTGAGGAAGTCCAAGGAAGATTCATCAACATACTAGAAAGCTTGGAGCTGTATACCAAGGTCTTCTCCGAAAGTGACGAAAGAAGTATTGTTGACTGCATCTTTGACTTGAGGGATAGAGGCCGAGCAGGCCTTCTCATGGAAAGAACATACTCTGAGCCAAAGAAATGAATGAGAGAAAAAGGAAGAATCACCATTCAACGGGCTGCTGTTATAATTTTACAAATGACATACAAGGAAATCCGCTAGGGATCCTCAGACATGACCAGGTAGATTCACTACCTCCTATAATAAAGTGGATGATCAGATGAAACATACTATCAGCTACCTGCATCTTAAATAGTTGCATCATCAACATCTATGATGAGGGTGATTGCATCCCTCCCCATATAGACCATCACGATTTTGTGAGGCCCTCCTACACGGTCTCATTCATGAGCAAAAACAATATATTATTCGAAAAAGAAATTGACATTGTCGGCCCTGGCAAGTTCAGAGAAGCTGTAGAGAATTTGCTGCCAGTTGGTTCAATTTTGGTTCTGAAAGGAAACGAGGCAGTTGTCGCCAAGCACTGCATCCCATGGGTGCAATACCGTAGGGTGTCCGTAACCTTCCGTAGGATGGACGACGACAAAGCACCATACGCATTTCAGCCAAACCTAAAACTAGAAGAACTGCTACCGTACGAACTATGAGAGGGTTGTACCTCTAAGTACATGGGAATGGAACTCTTGTCCTCGAGCATGACTTAGAAGGTCTGCTTGATCAGGAGCTCGTCATACCTGATACAGATATTCAGAGAGTTCACTTTTTTTTTATAGCCACATGATATGTATCAAACATACTCAGCCTACAATGTATACTTGGCATGAGATGTTTTTAGACTATATATTATACCTTTTTGAGGTGTTAGCCTATGTTTAATTAGTGACATCCTGATTGGAGCAGGTTATTGAAGATTTCTCTCAGAAATGTACATTTTTGTCAACTGCCTTTTTATGCGATGGATGGAAGCTCTATACCCTAATTCTCAATCAAGCGTAGGATTTTCCAGAGCCATGCTGAGTTTAGGCATAGGACTGATCTGTCACTTTTGCACATTCTTTTTCTAACCTAAAAGTTTATATTTAAATTTATACCTTTGATATCGAAAATCATGGAAAAGATATATTTAGCTTCTAAAATGTTGAAGTAATATTTTTAATGTGATATAAAAGATTTGAGTGTTCATGCCAACATAAAAATTTAGGTGTTATATACATATCTATATATAAATACATAATTGTGTGGTATGTATTTAAATGCCCCTAAATAAAAATATCTATCAATAAATAAAAAATATATTTAAAAATAAAAATAAAAATATATTAAATTCATATATACTAAAGCATTTACTAATCCAAATACACGATCAGTAATTTATTCCATTGGCTGATTGAACAAGCGAAAATAACAATGGAATTGCAACTTCTGGTCGAGGTGTTGACATATTAGTCAATATGCCAACTCTGCATATTATGTGAGGCAAATAAGGTCTAAAAATTACCTTTTAAGTTGTAAAATTATTGTGATATCGGTCTATCATCATTGATAATAGTACAAAACAAATATTATAACAAAGCCAACTCGTTCGGTAAAGTATTCCTATCATTTTTATTCTAAAATGTAAAATTTTCAATATATATATATATATAGATATATATATATAACCAACGGCAAAATCATCGTAAACCAACAATGACCAACAGCAAAATCATCATAAACCAACAAAGATAACTAACTCGTCACCACGCGCGCGCACACAAATTGAAAATTATAGAATCATGAAGGTAAATTATCATCTCAAAAGAATGAATACATTATATGAATAAAAAATGAAAACTATGTGTTACAGTCGTAACTTGTTGCATTCTCAGGATACCCTGAGTTCCTCATCGTATGTGGAATAAGTAAGAAGGATTGGAGACAAGCCTTATGCACCTCGAATCAATCATCTAGCCGGCTCCGTGTGATGATTTGCTTCTTTGTTTGTTAATGCCGTGACTTGAAAAGGCGAGGTTGGTTTGTGAACATTCGACCGTGAGCTTTGACAACTGATGCAACTCCGACGCTAAGTCCCAACCAGAATAGAGCATATAGGAGATGTCGGAGATCATATTGAGCTGCCAAGCAAATATAAATACAGGGTCAAGTGAATTAATAGAAGACTTTGTCTAAGCTGGTTATTTGTTATTGGGAGAATTAGAGTTTTTTAATTCAAAGAATCAAGAAACATCATTAACCAACCATTGACTTCATTTATTCAAGACAGGCTGCTGATATAGTTTACGGAACTCAAATCTGGAAATCTGAATAACTTACAATTCAATTTTTACGTACATGCCACCTTATGTAAAACAAGGTATATTAGGTATATTTTGTTTTTTTTGTAAAACAAGGTATATTTTGTTTTTTTAAAGTTAAAATGGTGGTATTTTTTATATAATATGAAAGATTTGGATGGCATAAAAAGTTTAGGTGTTAGAAGCGTAAGCATAAAGAAATTAGGAGGAATTTATGTAAATGCCCAGATTTGTTTTGTAAGAATTATTCTCGCTGTTACTCTCATAGCCACATATACAAGTGTGTTACAACTTGGCTAAACTTAATGATGTGTCCAGAACAGAAAGGCCCGTCCTCAATTTTATGCGTTTTTTCTCAGTTGTTTTCATATAAGTTTTAATAATTTCAGGTAAAGAAGGCTGCAGAACAGTGAGCTCTTATGGTAAATCTAAAGTCCAGTATCAAAATGGATCTCTTTGAAGCACTGTTTAGCAGGAAATGCAGAAATCCGCTGAATTGAATTGAAATTGGTCGACTTCAAATATTAGGTATTGAGTTAGTTGATGAAGCCAAAGAAAAAATCAAGTTAATTAATGACTAATAAAACGCTGCTCACGATCCACAACAAAACTATAATGACTCAACACATAGAGCAGTAGAGTTTGAAGTTAGTGATTTTAGGTTTCTAAAAGTCAGGCAAACAAAAGGTCCAGCCAGATTAGGTCGAGAAAGCAAGTTGAGTCAAAGATATATCGGTCCTTTTGAAATCATAAAAAAGATTGGTCTACATATTAGCTTTACATGCTGATATGTCATTCATGATGTGTTTCACATTTCAATGTTGAGGAAATGGATTTCAAATGCAAACTTACGAATTCACATAAAGATATAGAAGTATGGAATAGTTTAATTATATTGAAGAGCAAGAAAAAATTTTAGAAACAAAAAGTTAAGTTGAAAAATATACAAAATACCTATGCGAAGATAAAATAGAAATACAGGCCAGAGAAAGAAGCTACATGAGAAAAAACAAGATAGGACATTTTTTATGAGCCGAATACTCAATTTTACTAGTTTTCTCCGTTTTGCCGATTTTACGTGAAAATTTTGATAATTATGACATATCCTCAAATTTTGCACAAAATTCGACCGAGTCAAATTTATAAAATTCTACACGTCGAATCGATCAAATTTATACATTGCACACTATATGAATTAAAAGTGCATGTATAGTTATAAAACTTTGAAGTTCTAAGCATAATTAACTTTAATTAATCCCTTAATTAATTCCCTAATTTCATTCACTATTTTTAACATCCTTATTACGTGGATCTCAATTGTTTGATGTGACCAAATGACAGAGAGTCATAATGGGAAGGGTGAATATTGCATAGAATTCTTCGAATCCCATTTCCCTCTTTCGATCCCTCTCATTTTGCACGCCTAGTGAGCTCCACGATCGTGACACTGTAGCAGGCACAACTGCGAACGTTCAACAGAGGGCCACAAACATCAATTCGGGTTTCCTGACAATCAGAATGAGGGAACGTCATTTTCACACTAATTGCAACATTCCTTTTATTCCTTACGATTTCTTTTTGTGATTTACCATGAACTGAAGCATTTTCTTTTTTGTTCCAGATCACTATAGCGGGAGATGAACTAATGTCGGAAGCTGTGAATTGGGTTTTATCCTCTTGGTAGGGCTATTTACAAGTAAATCAATGAAGTAAGAGGAATAAAGGAAGGTTAGGAGGGAGAACAGATTAAAAGGGAATTGGAAAAGTGATAGCTATGCAAGGAAATCTTGAGGTAATTCTTGGTACCTATATTTATGTGTGTCAAATTAAGACCATTCATTAAAATTCTAAGAGGTTTATAAATCCTAGGTTCTTTACACTAGGCACCGAGCTCGAGGGGAGCTTGAGGAAACTCGTTGTAGGACTGCTCCGTTATTTCATGTGAAATAATTCCGTACTAAAATAAAAATAATACACGTCTATAAGATTTGAGATGATTTCTTTGATATGTGAATGCACCTTGAATTTTCGCATATTGAAAAATTCTTACACAAGATTATGTGAATGTGAGTTGGTACTGACTGTGACAATAATTATAATGTGATCAACATATCATAAAATTTTGCTTCCATGTATTCTTATCATGTTAGTTACATCATGCATATGATTATACATTGCCTATGATAGCATATTATAGGAATTATAATTACATGGATGTTACGAGTGTTGTGCTTGGTAGTCTATTACACGAATGTTTGCAAGTACATATGATGAGGAATAATGAGATTCCGACTTCTGACATTTAGGCAAAGACAATCTGAGAACTACTAGTATTAGGCGGGGACGAAAAATAAGATTTTGTTGTATCAAAGAAACTATTGATAATTGTTATGTTAGGAGGAATCAAACCTTTATCATTAGTTAATTAGTCTTCGGAATAGGCGACGACCCAATGACATTAATGACATGAATGTAATCAAAACCTATACAATTACAAATGACATTGCTATGATTATAATGATTGACTATGAAATTTATATGGATATGCATATTGTTGCACATGAATGGATGAAACATATGTTTATACGGCTTTCATGATTTACTACATTTCATGCCTTCATTTATATGTTTTATATAATTAAAGCATGTGATTGATCTATTGTCCTGCATATGAGCAACCAATGTTTATGCATGTCAATTTTTTTCTTCTATAAAATCCTTCTTCAGCCTTGATTATTTTGCTGCTTATAGCTTACTCTATGTTGTTGACTTTTAGAAAATGGTAAGGAGTAACAGGGCGACTGGTCGTGACGTGTACAACTTTTGCATTATATAAGTTTAGAGATTATACAGACTATTAGATAAGCACATTTATTATTTTAGATATAGCAGCTCCGTATAAATATTTTCATGATATGATTTTTGGACACTTCCAAGTATATGTGAATGAGAATAATTTATAAAAAGAAATATAATATGTACGTTTGTGAAAATTTAGTTAGAATAATTCATTGTCCACTAAGTCCTGATTATCTAAGTCAGGATTGGTAAGAATTTAATCTGACCAAACGTTCGCATCTGTCGCACAATTGTTGACCCTAAAAGGGGATCGTTTAGAGTGTGACAATGCTAAGGCAGGAGTACAACAAAATTTAAAGGTTGCACGAGGATGGAAAAGAGATAGTTAAACAAAATTATAAGTGCTAGGTGCAAGCTAATAAATACAAAAAGGCGACTTTTTAAGATGGAGATCTAGTGTGGATCAGACTAATTAAAGAGATTTCCACTAGAATTGTTTGGAAAACTCAAACACATAATAGACAAACCTTTCAAAATTCTCGAAAAGTTGAATGACTGCCTACAAGATTTATTTACCAGGAGATTACAACATCTCTATTACCTTTAGCATGACAGATTTGACTCCATACTATGAGGACACAAAACCTCCGACGAACGAGGTCGAAGCTCCCCCAAACTCAGAAAACTGACGATGAGAGGAATCTGTAGCTCCCGATGCGAGTGTTCTGGGAACAAAGCTGCGACCCAGCAAGCATTCTTGGACCGAAGTGTACTAAGTTAGGCCCCTGTTGAGGAGTCGGCCGGTCCTCTTGGGCCACTCCTAGTTATCTTATTACTATATATTTATTTTCGTAGAAGTCGAGGGTTGTTTTTTTATATGTTTTCAGTTGTGATAGTTTTCAACATCTTTAATTCCCCCTTCTAAGGCTAATCCAAAAGCAAGGAGGTGCTCCGGTTCGAACTCATCATGAGATTGTGTTTATCTACTGTTTTCTGCATCCCACAGCCTATCCTCCGCTGATGTCGTCGTCGCGGTCGTTGCATCCACCTACCACCCAACCCTTGCCCATCCAAATATCATCCTTCCACCACCTCCCTGCTGCGGCCACCTTACCATACCCTACTGTCGTCCACCGTCCAGCAATCTGACAGCCAACCATTACCTTCCATTGTCACCTTCTCACTATACAACCATCCATACTTGTTATTTCTCCATAAACCACAACACCACCACCCTCCACCCAAGCCTTGGTTGAATTTGTGTTGTCTTTTGCTATTTTTTAGTTTTGAGCATTTGTGGTTGTAATCTCTATTTGATTTCTGTACAAAAAATTGCATTTCTACTGTCATTTGAGGTTAACTCCGGTATCATAAACTCTCCATAATCAATTATTAGTATATCTACTTGCAAGCTCTTCCTCTTCTATGTGTCCATACGCTTCTGAGTCTACTGAAAATTATTTTCCACTCTCTTAGCCGTCTTCAATGGCACTAAATAGTCTTCAATCTCAAATGACACAAGTGGCCACTTAATCAAATTCTTCAATCCATAAAGAAGCTTGGGGCATTTCTCATCTACATTTGGAATGAGCCGTGGTACAAACCTAGATAGCATAGTAAACTCTATTTCATACTGAATAACAACCTATCTTCCTGCACCAATCTCATAAACTTATTATGCATTTGTCTTCTAGTTGAAAGTGTTCACGAACTCATCACATTTCATTAGGTGGTTGGCACTGCCTCCAAACTTCTATAAATATCATCGCCACCATCTCTCTGCTTATCCCTCAAAAACGAAAGTGACAAGTGTAACCCTCCTATATAGTGGTCAAGACAAGGCATCTATAATCTTTTATACTGCCAACATTCTTTTCTCAGCATCCACTTGACTTCCTCTTCCAGAAAAGAGAGGTGGTTTCGTATCCTGAAATAGCTTCAAGTATTTGTTCATCTAGCCTTCCCCATTAGACCGACCTGAGATTGAGTTTCAAACCAACTGAGTGACTGCAGTCATCATA